GGATGTCCTGTTAGTCCTATATGCTATTTCTTTCAATTCTATTACATAGCCATTCATTCAGGTTGTAATGGCAATTATGTTGCCAAGTTCATTTTGATCATTTTCACCTCCATTCTTTATATATGAACCTTGGTGGACCTCTCTGAGATTCCTTCAATTTTGTGCAGATTTCTTCAATTCTCTATTTTTAATGAATTTTTCTGTAATTTTTGGTAAAAAGTTATATTTTTGACAACAAGTGCAATTGCTTTGATATTTAATATACAGTTTACTCAGGTGGTCCATTCTCAGATTTGTTCGTATCATGATATCTTCAAACCTTCATTTTATTTTTGGTCATTTGTGCTATTTTCATGTTTATGAAAGCTTCTACTAAAAATAGCTGCTAAATTTGAATATTGCTTTGATAACAAATTATTTGGGCGTTCCTCAGCCCATGCTAACCACTGTTTGCTCTTGTGCGAGAACACATTTGTGACTATCCGATATGCAAACATATAACTAGTGCATGCACTAGTGTTTCCACTCCTGTGTTTTAGATTCTATCACTGATAAGAATATAAAGTTTAGGTTCTAGTGGATCCATTAAAAGGGAACCTTCCAAGCCCAGGGATTGCACCAAAGAATCATGGGACACTATTGTTTATGTTGATTACAATGTTAATCTATCTTTTGTTATGCATTGTAATTTTAATCCAGAAAGTAAATTTATTGTGAGATTATGCTTAACTTAATATTCCCCTTCAATTGCAGTTATAGGATATGTCTGAGAATGTTTTCCTTATGTCACGAAATGATCTAATCTAATATGAATTACATATAGTATCAAATCAATTGAACCAGCAGTTATCAGGAAAAAGTCAAATAACATTTTTGACCAAAAATTACCAAAATATTTATTTCTGTTTGATTACTCATTTTCAGTCAAAATTGCCAGCTTCAATATGATAAGTATATCAACTATACAGTTGTCAGCCAATGAAAAACATTGAAACACTCTATGATTGTTGAGTCATTCTGTCTATAATACATGTACGAGCCATTGAATAGAGAATCAGATTCCATGTATGATGAAGTAAAATATTTGGAAACCTTAAATGTAGCAGCCTTGAGTATGAATAACATGAGAGAAGTATTGTTTGTTGATTTTAGCAAATAAAATATAATATTAATTTAGTAATAATCTTATTTTTTTTTATTCAGATCCAGACAAGGTGCTGACTTCGGCAGTGATGCTTGCTTTATCACAAGAGCTGAGTGGCGATTGGAAGAACCTTGCCAGATGTCTTGGTTTCAAACCACCTCAAATAGACACCATCGAAATGGATAATTTCCATTATGGAGTACAAGAACAGGCCTACCAGATGCTGTATAAATGGTACCAAAAACTGGGTAGTGGTGCAAAGCACAGTATATTGGCCGAGTCACTTGCAGCTATTGGCAGAAATGACCTCATCCGTCATTTGTAGACTTGTTTGGGGTTTCCAAAGTTCCCTGGTTGCTAAGCTACCATGTGGATGAATGTGAGTCGAATTGATGTGGATTCACATTTGGTCAGCAGAAATTCACAGTTTAAATAGGCAGGTATTTTATTATACCATCTTCAGTTTTGTATCACACATATTGATTCCGGTATGGTAGAAATCGTTACCTTGAAAGCTCAAAAACCTCTCATAAAATATAGAAAATGATTATCTCAAAATGAATATGAACAAAATATCATTTATATTCCTATAGTATCCGTACGTACTTTTGTAAAATATTTCTAGGGGGCGGTATACAAGCGTGTAGATTCAACTTAGGAAAACTACAATGCCTTCTGTCATTCAGTAATGTGGCAACTATGGAACAGCGCCCTCAAACTTAAAACTCGTCTATTCAGTTGAACCTTTTCGTGACAAATTATTTGCTGTGTACTGATGTTTCATCTTATATTTCTGGTGTTTAAACCATGATTTGTCATCAGATACTAATTGTTGAAATCAGATATCTTTTTGTTCCATAATTTTTGTTTAAACAAGCAGCCTATCGGCTGAGATAGCTCCGCTGTTAGCAATGCACATTTCAATTAAAGAACTGAAGACATCATTAGAAAATGAACAATATGTATAGTATCAAAGCAATCGGACTTACAGTTTTTAACAAGAAGTCGAAAATATCACTTTTTACCAAAAATGACAAAAATATTCACCAAAATTAGAGA